TTTTTCGTTCTGATGACATGAATTTTCAGTTGATCCGTATCAAATTTCATGAATAAAATGGGTTCAAGTATAATTTACCTGGTTTTATATTTTCAATAGGTTAGATGGATGATATTTATTACTTATTCTATAAAATTGTTTAATCGATTATTTTGATTAATGATGGGTATCATAATATCAAGAATATAAAATATAATTCATTTATTTTTATAGTTACTCTTCTTCCCTTGGGTTCGGAGTTGAAAGTAAAGCTTCAGCAACACAACTCCACTACATCCTATTCTCTCAGGTCCTCTTTAACTGAAAACACCATTGCTCATACACTCTCATCTTCCCCTCCTGCCAAAACGATCTCCTCCATGTCAACCTCGCGCCCACATCTAACTAGTCATTTATGATGCGAATTCAACCCAACAGTTGATCTGGTTAACGCACGATGTCATCCATCACTCTTTTCACTGACGTGTGTTCGATCCAACTCCATTTTCGCCTACATATTTCTTGGTTGAGTAGTAGGTTCGTGTCAGTTGGATCTTTCATTGCTAGATTTTATTTTTCACCGTTAATTCTTTCTCGTTGGCTGACCATCCAGCCGGCGAATCATTTGGTCCTCAATATGGAGGCAGTGTAAGCGGCAGCTGACAATTAAGGTCCTCACTGATCTGTTGGGGGTGGTTTTCATGACGCGATTGTCAAGTTTTCGACTACATGGAAGAACTGACCGATTTGACAATGGCGTTGAAATTCCGAGTTCCGTTGTTTAGGTTGAGATGGAATGTAGAAGATTTTCGCGCTGATATTATAGTGATGAAGGTGTGCCTTACTCTCCCAATTCTAGTTTTGAGTTACTCATATGTGTCAAATGTATTCAGTTGAGAAGATGCAACCTAGCCAGATAAGGGGAAGAAGTGACGTCTTTGAGATTCCTTTCGTTCATAGTGACTGATGCTTGTGTACGTTGTTGTTGTTGATGTTGGTGGTGGTAGTGGCATATTTTAATCATCTCCGTCTTACCTACATTCACCACCTGGGGAATTATCGTCGATGCCTCTCTTCTCTGTCAGTTTTTTTTGGTTTTCACCTGCAGGTCTTCAAGTTTGTGTGACATTGGACATGCGTCATCATCCACGACATTCAGATCTTTTATAATCTTGTTATCCTCCAAACGTATTCCTTTCTTCTCGCTTCCCACAATCTTCAGTATAATTACTCCACCACAGGTAACAATATCGTCATCAGTGATCCTAGACAGCAGGTTTGTCTTACTTTAGTATTCACTTAAAAGTCTTGGCTTATTTTTCCATTATGGATCATGTGGCATATGTCATTGTCATATAGCCAGCTGTTGAATCAAGTTGATAAATATTTGACCCCTACTTCCATAATATTGAAGTAGTGTTTCCAAATTACTTTAAGGTCAACGCTGTTTCATCTTACTGTTTTTAACTTCTGTGTCATTGTTGGAGCTGTGGAAAAGGGATTCAATAACTTTGAAACGGTGTCACTTTAAAGTATAACAATCTAAAATATATGTATTTGAGAAACTAAGTCTTTAAGAAATTTAGGAATATAAAACAGTTAATACTTCAGAAACAACTTCCACTTCTGAATACCACTGTCAGGATTCATTCAAACAATTATTCTTCAAGGTTATGGGCTAGAATTATGACTGTAGGTTTAAAAGTCTTATGTAGTATTAGGCTTCAATTTTCTCTTATAATGCCTATCTAAAGTAATTAATCTATTCAAGAATTTCATTATGGATTGACAGTGATTAGAGAACTATTGGAAATCCAGCACTCAAGTACTAGAGAGCAAGGTATTTCCTCAGCCTAATTTTGGTCTCCTCAGCTGTAATCATGCAGCGCATTTTCAGAGGCCGAATCGAGGAACTTCCGGTTACAGGGTGAGCTAGCTCTCAGACCCTTCAGCCACAGGAACCAGCCAATCCATGAATTCTAACTTCTGTCAATTTTTGCGTGATATAGCGAGACTGGCATTAGCCAATATTATCGTTGGCGAGTATTTATCCTCATACTCAGCTGGCTTTACTCCACTAGTCATGAGTTCCCACTGATAGATACAAAATTGTCAAAAATGAATTCTGAAGTCACCGAAAATACCCATTGAGTCATAAAGAAAATAAAAGATACATTCAGCGAATCAAAAGTTTCTTTATCGATGAAATCATCTTCATAGGCGGAGGCGCTGGCAATTCACCAATACAATCCTGAACTCTGTATACAGAAAAAAGTTTGTCCAGTCTCTTATTTTACCTTCGTCTTAACCTCTTCACTAATCGTTCCCTGTAAAAAAAATTGTATTTTTATTTTCTTTTTTAAATTTTTAATCTTACTTTTAGTTTGCTTTTGCTTTAGTAATTAATTCACTATTATCAATCTCATATGCTCCTTTTGTATATTTTCACATATCCTTTTCACACTTATTTAGTTGACACTCAACTACCAACTTTATTCTCATTCAATAGCAATTTTAATCTTATCAAACTTCTATTTTTGTGCCGTTGATTACCACATAATTTACAACTTTCAATTCTTTTCACTTCTAAAGCCACTTTGAGTAATTATATCAATTATGTCATCCTCTATTACTCAATAATAGACCACAATATATTTTTGTAAGTATAAATACGACTGTACAGCCTGTGAAGATGATTTCGTCAATAAAGAAAATTTTCTTCGCTGAATTCTGAAATAAAATTCGACTTAATGCATTAATTATCTTCATATAGAAGTCATTACAGCATATTATATATATCCTCACATACTACTCACAACTATTTATTTTATGAACTCCCTCCTACTTCATCATCGTTGACTTTTTATTTTACAACTGTCTTGCAGTAAAATCTTAATTTCATATACTCCGGTTGACTGTTGAATGCTTAGGAAACAAGTGAAGAACCTAATTCCCGTCACTTATAGTCATATCTATCGATAAGGATGAAGTTTCTGTATTTGTACAAATTCTGTGGTGATGATAATAATAATAGTAATAACAGTACAGACAGTTGAGGGTTACAAATTTTCATATACACCCTTGGTAAGCTTTAACGATATAAATACCCTGAAACGTGAATAGTTTAACGCCTATTTTTCTGAAATGTTACTTTAAGTGAGATCAAATGGAATGAAAGTTATTCAGCAAATACTCTTCTATAACTATTTCAAATTTATTTATTTACTCCTTTAAAGTAACAGATTCTTTAACCAATCACAATTTAAATAATTTATATTTTGAATGGTATTTAACACAATGCATCGGTGATTCCGTTTGAAGAATGCTCGTCAGTTAAATACGAAATCTGGGTTGAAATTCCCAGTTAACGTACGCCTAAACCTCGCCTAGTTTACTAGACTTATACATAGGAAGGCTGATAAGTGGGAATGTTTGACATAAGGCTAACAACCCTTACTACGTGTTGTAAACATCAACTACCACCAGAGGAACTTCAAAGCCTTAAGTCTGATGCCTTATATTCATTCCATCAAGAATTCTAGCCTTATTTCAGAAGTCTAATTTATTTTTCTTTTTTTTATATTTTAAGCTGATTTTGTGTGGATTAAAGAGATAACGATGATGATTTGTTTTCACCTTTTGCGCGCGCTTTTCGATTAGTACGCTACAATTGCTTAGTTACATAAAACTCTTATTTCTCTAGTATTTCTTACTACGAAGTTTTGGAAATTATTGTAATATGTTTACATTGGAACATCTCATACAAACTTCAGACCTTCATTAACAACTGTCTTCGCTCAATACCACTCAAGATCAGATGGCCAGCCAGAAAAGATCAGCAACAGGGATCTCTCGCAATGAACGAACCAACCCATCAGGAACCGATTGTGTAACAAATAAGCAGGAAGAAATGGAGGTGGATTGGCCATACTCTGAGGAAACAATCAAGTGACATCACTAGACAAGCCATCGCTCGAGTGGAACCTGAAAGGGAAGCGGCGAGTTGGTCGTCAGTGCAAGGGTGACTTGGAGGAGGTCATGTGAAGAGGAGATGAAAGCATGTGGGTGGCAGACTTAGAGCCAGGTGAAAACTTCAGCATAGAACCGAACGCAGTGAAAACTCGCAGCTGAAGCTCTATGTTCCTCTAGGAATTAAAGGAAATAATAATAATAATTTTGCATTCCCAGTGAAACTCAGAGTTTAAAGCTTTTTTGTCTGAAGATCCAATAACGGTGGCACTGATTTAGGTGGACGTCGACTGGGGAGAGAATTCCTAACCTCTTCTGTAGCTATGATGACGACGACTATTCTATCATCGACTTCATGATAACCACTGATTAATTTGGTGGCTGTTTAAAACTTGAACTATCGAAAACAACCTTCATCAATATATTGCATAAAATATCTCGTCGTGTATTTCTCGAAGGTGATATCATTAGACAGATTGGTTTGCACTTCGCGTCAGATAGAACTGTGTCACACGACTTACTGTCGGTCAGTGGATTCTTTTATTTGAAGATACTGGATGAAGTGAAAATATCATGCAATAAACTCTGCCGATAAATTCTGTGCATCATATAAACATTGTTCGGAATAAACCTATTACTATTTTTATCATTGTAACAAAAGAAGACAAGGGTCAGGTAACAGATCGTTTATAAGGAAATCAACAAGTATTTATATATTTTCATGTAAATTATTATAGCTTTTTCAAGCAAACAAACACAGTCTTCTGATTGGTAGTTTCTCACAGAAAGCTGACCTTGCATTTCTTTGTTAACTTTATCTGCCTACGCAAAGTCTGTTGTGATTGGTTGTTGAATCAGTCTTTGTTCATATTTTCTCACGACCAATATTTGCGACATAAACGTCGACGTAAATTAATGTCTACCAATTGGCTAGCAGCCTTTTCTCACCACATTATTAGTAGTAGTATTACTGATTATTCTTTAAAGTAGTATAGTTAGAGATTTTGTTTGTTTGATTTTTGATTTTTAAAACATTTTTTCTAAAAATTTAGATAAATCAATGCGTAAAGTATCAAAGAAGCAAAAACGTCAATCATTTTCAACGGAACCACTGATCACACCATTGCCTAATCAACCTATTTCAACGCTTTCATGTTTACTTATAGCAATTATATGGTTTCTTTTATTAATTTTTGCGTCTTTAACTATGTATAAGTGTATTACATTAAATGATGAAATGAATATTGATGAAATGAAATTACAAAGTGAACTTACCAGTGAATATGAATCTACTACAAATGAGGATTATCAGATAACGCCAGCAATGATAATGAATATAGACAAAGAACAAGTACGTTTACATGCCATATATATATATATATATATATATATATATATTTAATTATAGCTTGATTCCACAAAGTATTTTTGGTACAAGTATGGAATTTTTTCAGCATGTGATATCAGTAGCCCAAATTTCTCAGGCCGACCGTTGATATCAGGTGAGCGTCGGCTGGAGATCGAACTTGGGACCATGTGCATGGTCGGCGAGAGTCATAACCGATGGGCCACCGACATACCGACGACTCTACAATTTTTTTCAAAAGAATGGATACTGAACAAAGAGTACTCTTTTCGATTACCCCTTCATCATCAGGCTCTACATTTATACAAACATTATAGTGAATGAATGAATTAGTGTTATGAACGACGTTAATGTTGTTTAAATAACATCGAAACAATAATAATATTAATAGATTACAGCTCAGTAGCATCAACATAAAAGAAGCTGAACGTCAGAAAAATTAGGAAAGATGATAATACAAATTCATGAGTTTATAGTTTCTACTGAAGGCCAGGGCAATAGTAGGGGCTGGACTTGCTTCTTTTGAACACAGAGCGCTGGTTGTTTGAGGCAAATTGTAATAGCCTCTGCTGTTTGGAGCATGTGGTACTTCGATGATTTTGGCAGTTTACTAGGCACCCGGTATATTATAGAGAAGGATTCTTCGACTCTGGCTGGCTTTGTCGCCGGTTTGCACCAAATGGTCCAGTACCGAGATGTCAATGGTTTTCACTACACCTTTACTTAGCCATGCTGGGAGACGTTCTCGAGCCAGCACGAAAAATCAAGTTCCTAGATCAACGGCCAATATAACTTGCTTCACTACAAGTGCAGTTGAATTGGTAGATACAATTTATAGTGGCTGGTCTAGGTACTTCATCTTTCAGTGGAGGTAGCACCATCGGTTGTGTATAGAATAAGACGCGTAGTTCGCCAGCATTAAAAGTGATTTTCTTAATTTCCTCGTAATTATCTCACTTAGTATATCGCCCTTGAATCGCAGTCGTATATAAAGTGGCTTCTTGTTTACCGATAGTAAGTAGTCCTTTTCCGCTTTCTTTGTCATGTGTTTATTGATAAATTTGTCAGGATAGCTATTTTCACTCAATCAAGGTAGCATATACAATGCTTAATTAATCTTCAGTTACCTCTGCTGAGCATATAGCTCTAACTCTGTGGCTGAGGGTCTTCACTAAATTTCTTTTGTACTTGAAAGGGGCGAAGCTGTGAAAATGTGTATATTGTCCTGTCTGTGTCCCTTTTTATGCAAATTTTTTATGCCACCATCTGGTTTTCTTGTAAGTAGGACATTGAGGAAGGCAATTCTGTCTTGGGATTCCTCTTCACATGGGAATTTCATAGCCGAATGTACTTCATTGAATTTCTAACACATATACACAAGCATTATAACTAATAATTTGATTTTGATTATTTAAAAATTTGTTTAAAATTGCCTATTAACTGAACTATGTTTTTACTGACAAGTACAACGTTGAGCTTATCATGTAATCCTTTAACTAATCAAATCAATTGAAATCCCTGAAAATCAACAGTTAAATATTAATCTGATGTCCACTAACGACGATCGGCCTTATTCAAGTAGCTTCTTCCAGGGGGAAGTCTTGACCATTAGGGTCACTGGTTGGTGTCAGATGAGCTATATCGTGCATGAATCGACAGAAGTTGGATTTCATGAGTTTATCATTGTACCGAGTAGCAGCGGTAACAGGAATGTCTTGGATTCGAATGCCAGCACGGTAGGTGGGTGCGTAATGCTGAAGAGTCCCAAATCAGGCAGACGGACACATCTGGCCGTCTAGTACTTAAATGCTGGTATACCAAACCGATGTCAGCTCATGATGAAATCCTGCATACAACACTTACAGTTTATTTAAATCACTGAGGTTGTCTAAAGACGCTGTATACTGTCTTGTGAATAACTTTTATGATTACTTACAGGATTTTTATCATGAGCTGACATTGGTTAGAGAACCACTGGAAAACCACCATGTGAGTACTAGACAGCTGTTTCGTCCTATTTTGAGACTCGTCATCAGTACGCACCCACCGGGGTTCTAACCCAGGACCTTCTGGTTACAAGGCGAGCTCGAAGATCACTCAGCCACTGGGACCCAATTCAATGGCCCATGAGTTCTAACTTCTGCCAATCCACGATATAGCGCAACCGTAGGCCAATGTCTTCGGAGAGTGTTTTATGATTGCACTGATCAATCATCAAACAGTAACCAGTGTCTTGTTTCTAGATCTCTTTTTTGTTGTTTCTGAGTGAATTCTATCCATCATGTGATGCAATTCAGCAGTTATGTCCTTGTCTGTAACATTAGATGAATGAGCATGGTTTAGATTTCCTACAAGGCATGAATTTCTTTCAGTTTCCAGACTAGTCATCCTTGCTCATAAAGTGTCAGCAAGAAAGTAAATCAGACCTAGGGCTCCTAGGCTGATTGCCTTCGACTACTTAACAACAAATACTTATAACTGTAATCAGATGGAATTACAATAACAGTGGTAGTAATAATAATAAACCTGTTTTACATTTATACCAAGTCATTAGATGTATTAGATAATATTGCATGAATCGTTTATCGTAGAACAATAATTCCTGTAATTTCCTAGCCTAAAAATTCAACTAAAACCTATAGATATCTAAGATGAATGAAAATACCCTTTGTTCTGTACTGTCTTACGCTTTGTCTGAAGGACTACAGATTATAAGGATTCATTGCCAATAACGCATGTGGTTCGGGTGTGATCTCCGGTCACAGATGCACTCCTTTATCTAACTAAGCCATTAATAAGACCGATTAAAAGGAGGGAGGTTGGACATGAGGCTAGCTAGTAACCCCACCCCGTGAAAATAAACACCGAAATTTCAAAGCTCTAGCTTGAATCCCTATGTTCCACTGGGAACTTTAAAAATTTAGGTAGTGTACTTCATATTATTCATATCCTCTCAAACGTTAGTTTATTGCTGCTGTAGTCTGAGATCAGAGAATATTTGAGTACAGGTAACCTATATTGATTGACATTCGTATACGTAACAGGTGTGTTGGTTAGGCTTTCATAATTCATCAAACAACAAGCCTTTTGACACTAATAGTATAAGTAGTATCATAATTTCTCATTTGTCTTTTTTTTAAAGGTAGATTGTTTTCAGTTAATTTCTTTTTTCCATTCCCTTTCTATCTTCTGAGTGAAACATAGAACTTCAAGATTTAAACTTGAAAGTTCCAGTGGCAGTGTTACTTTGATCGGAGTGGGTTAGCTAGCCCCACATCCAACCTTCCCTCTTTTACATGCATGGTAAACTAAGGAGAGGTTTTTTGGATTCACACCCAGGTTATGTGCATGGCTGACAAGCCATTTACCCCTAATCCATCAACTACTAATATGAGACATTCTGATTCCTTCACAATTTTAGATTACATACACAATGAAATCTCTAGAAAGTAATAATAAAATGCAGTAGTGATTTTCAAGTGTTTGTTTGTAAGGATTTGATTTATTTCATGGATTTAGATCACCGATGGATTTCAGTTAGAGAACCGTTGAAAACCAGCATTCGAGTAGTGGATAACCAGCTGTTTGGTTAGACTAGTTTTGGTGCAACACTACGACCAGGGTTCGAACCTACAACCTTCCAGTCACAAGGTGAGCTAGTTCGTAGACATTTCAGCCACTAGGACTCGAATTCTCAGTGGCCAACCCATGAATTTCAACTTAAACCAATTCGTGACTACTTTTAGTGCGACTGGCACCAACCAGTGTCATTGCTGGCTAGCATTTCGCCTCACTTGTGACCACTTGGTGAACTCCACTGGTCACGACTTCCCACTAGAACTCCAAGCAACTTCGCCATGTAAGCCAGTGAGGAGTTGGTTCCCAGTGGTTGAATTGTCTATGAGCTGTAATGATTATTATTCCACACTCAACTTTCACTTCCTCTTTTGGCGTATAATTCCTCATTTCTGCCAGCTTATGATGTAGCGAGAAGATATTGCATGATGACCTAAAGTATACGTGTTTATATCATCAGCCAGTGCTTCTCACTAACTATTATCTGGAAAAATTTAACTTAGAGTTCATCACTGATCACTGATTTTGATTTTTTGATTTTTGATTTACAGCTTGATTCCACACTGTATTTTAGGTACAAGTATGGAATTTTCAGCATGGATATCGGTAGCCCAAATTTTGCAGGCCGACCATAGATATCAGGTGTGCGTCGGTGCGGGCTCGAACCCCGGACCATGTGCATGGTCGGCGAGAGTCCTAACCACTGTGCCACCGACGCACATTGGCCAGTTTCAACAGAGAACTTTGCATTGATGCATACCAGTTTCAGTAGCCTCTCTCTCTCTCTCTCTGTGGTACACGAAGCAAGAGACGAGAGATTCAAAAGTGAGTAAGTAAATAAAATTGTGAGAGGAAAAATAATACTAATATGGAAGAACAGTAGAGTTATTTTGGAAAAGACTGACAAATCACAAAGATTGAATGCATCTGCGTTGTCAATGAGAACAAGGATTTTAGATCATATCATCAGCTGTTTCCAGCCTTTACCGGCTCTTACCATCCAGAGGACCCTAACCAACCAGTCAGGAAGTCTACACCTTGCTACATAGCTGGATGACTGGCCTTAACTAATTGTTATGGATTTGATTGACTGATGAAGTCATGTTTTCGTTTGATCACCACTAAGTCTTTTCCAACTTAACTAATCTCATGTCAGCTAACATTGCCCATCATATTGAGGAAGGCATACTCAGCTATACATGTCCTAAACATCTCTCTCTCTCTCTCAATCGATGTGATTTCATGACCTCTTATCTAAATCCAACCAAATCAGTGATTTAAACATTAGATAACTATTATGCTCGTTTATCAGCTGTATAGTCGATTTGAGTCAGCTTAGTTAACCAAATCAGGTAAACTCAACGAAATTTTAGCTAGCTACTCAACTGGTTAGATCATCTAAATGGGAT